TCAACCAAGTATTAACCCAGACCAATAACATTACACAAGATATGATAGCAACTTATGATGTCATTAAAGATGGTTAAAAAACAATAGATTGCCTGAAAAAGTAGCAGGCCCTATCAGAGTAACTATGACAAAAGCCTCATTTGGAATACATTCCATAGCTTCCATAAAGTATTCATCATGTAGGGCTCTTAGACAAACAAGCAGAGATAGAAAACATAAGAGACAACCACTGTTTGCTGAAAATGAGGTGTTGATGCCACAAAATTGAAGGAATAAGAGCACTAAAAAAATATTTACACAACATAACGATGTTTTAAGCACTAACCAAAACTCCAACAGCATAACTGTGAGTCTAAAGGTTTCAAATTATCACTAAATGTGATTCCAAGTTATGGGGAAACAGATTATTGATTAATAATATAAATTCTACACATTAGTATAAGACATCACAGGAGAATATCATCAGAATGTATATCTTACAACAATTTGGACAATTGGGACATAGGCATCATCCATGGAAATCAGCCTATGATATACCAAATTTGACCATTCACACTATAGGCAACAGGGAAAAGAGGTAATCCACAAGTCACAGATCACCTCGGCAAAGTTGCCTTCATTATTTGGTTATGGGAAAGCACATCATTCGTTCATAATATAAACTCTAGGCGCTATTATAAGACATCACAAGAGATTATCATGGCAATATATTTTGTATGTAATTTGGACAATTGATACCATAGGCATCATCCATGAAATGTCAACCTACAAAACCCCAAATTAACCATACACAATCTAGGCAACAGGGAAAAGAGGTAACCCACAAGTTACAAGTTACCTCGGCAAAGTTGCCTTCATCTAGTTCAGGGAAAACATCTTTTGTTAATCATATAAACTCTAGCCACTACTATAAGACATCACAAGAGATTATCATGGCAATATGTTTTGTATGTATTTTGGACAATTGAGACCATAGGCATCATCCATGAAATGTCAACCTACAAAACCCCAAATTAACCATACACAATCTAGGCAACAGGGAAAAGAGGTAACCCACAAGTTACAAGTTACCTCGGCAAAGTTGCCTTCATCTAGTTCAGGGAAAACATCTTTTGTTAATCATATAAACTCTAGCCACTACTATAAGACATCACAAGAGATTATCATGGCAATATGTTTTGTATGTATTTTGGACAATTGAGACCATAGGCATCATCCATGAAATGTCAACCTACAAAACCCCAAATTAACCATACACAATCTAGGCAACAGGGAAAAGAGGTAACCCACAAGTTACAAGTTACCTCGGCAAAGTTGCCTTCATCTAGTTCAGGGAAAACATCTTTTGTTAATCATATAAACTCTAGCCACTACTATAAGACATCACAAGAGATTATCATGGCAATATGTTTTGTATGTATTTTGGACAATTGAGACCATAGGCATCATCCATGAAATGTCAACCTACAAAACCCCAAATTAACCATACACAATCTAGGCAACAGGGAAAAGAAGTAACCCACAAGTTACAAGTTACCTCGGCAAAGTTGCCTTCATCTAGTTCAGGGAAAACATATCTTTTGTTAATCATATAAACTCTAGCCACTACTATAAGACATCACAAGAGATTATCATGGCAATATGTTTTGTATGTATTTTGGACAATTGAGACCATAGGCATCATCCATGAAATGTCAACCTACAAAACCCCAAATTAACCATACACAATCTAGGCAACAGGGAAAAGAGGTAACCCACAAGTTACAAATTACCTCGGCAAAGTTGCCTTCATCTAGTTCATGGAAAATATATCTTCTGTTAATCATATAAACTCTAGCCACTACTATAAGACAACACAAGAGATTATCATGGCAATATGTTTTGTATGTATTTTGGACAATTGAGACCATAGGCATCATCCATACAAAGTCAACCTACAAAGTTCCAAATTAACAATACACAATGTAGGCAACAGGGAAAAGAGGTAACCCACAAGTAACAAATTACCTCGGCAAAGTTGCCTTCATCTAGTTGAGGGAAAGCGTATCTTTTTGTTAATAATATAAACTCTAGCCACTATCATAAGACATCACAAGAGATTATCATGCCAATAAATTTCGTATGTAATTTGGACAATTGAGACCCCATAGGCATCATACATAAAATGTCAACCTACAGAATTCCAAATTAACCATACACAATATAGGCAACAGGGAAAAGAGGTAACCCACAAGTCACAAATTACCTCGGCAAAGTTTCCTTCGTAATCCAGTTATGGAGAAATGGATTGTTTAACCATAGAAACTTCAACCACTATCATAAGATCACAATAGATTTTCGTGACAATTTATATTTTATCTCAAATTTGACATACACAATATAAGCAACAGGGAAAAGAGGCAAACCCCAAGCTCTATATCACCTCGGAAAAGCTGCCTGATAACCAGTGCATTATAGTTGATTCAATTATTATCTTCAGATCTATAGGGAAAATCTTCCAGAATCTTCACTTCAACCATCAATAGTCAAACTTCACAACACCGACCGAGTACACTAAAACAGACATGGTGAGCGAAAACTATTAAAAGGATTTTGCTTACTTCTTGAGCATATCTCCCTCTTCCATCACTGTTTCGTCGCAAGTTGGAAAAGGCAACGCCCGTTCTATCCTCTTAACATTCTTATAAATGTTACCAATTTACCTTAATATTCAAAAAAAAAAATCTTACTACAGAACGATTAGCGCAAGCTGGAGAAATTTCGAAGGTCTAACATTAAAGCCTACTCTCTGTAGAAAGAAATCGCGTTCTTCGCAAATGTAAACGATTCGGATATCACCAGCTGCAATGCCTCTGCAAGATTATTTCATTTCCAACAACAAGGTCATAAATGACATATCAGAACATTGGAGTAATTACGCCGCGAGATCAATCAAGCATGCTAATGATGAAGAAAAGGGAAAAGATTGTGATATAAAAACAGAGATAACTCACCGTTTATGATCTCGGCAACATTTTTGTACTTTGTAACAACATCCGGAGAGGAGAGATCCAACTCCACCTCCTCCCTTTCATCGTCCGACGGCATTACTTCGGAGATTCAGAAACCTTTCACAGCAATGTGAAGCAAAAGTTTCAGGAAGGAGGACTCAAGTTCAACAGCTAAGAACAACAGAAACACTGGCAATTGAAAGTACCAACTCTCGAACTGGAAGTATAATGCAGAGACGAAAACTAGGGTTCCCTTCATCTACGCCTGCCTTTGTTTATATAGGAACGGCTCTGTGCTGTTAGGGTTTTGGGTTTTTTTTTTTTCTTTTTTTTTTTTCTTTTTTCTTGGGAGGTCGAATTTTCTAATTCGTTCATCATTTGAATTAATGACCGTTAGTTTTTTTTTTATTATTATTATTATTATTATTCTATTTTTTACTTGAATTTGAAATTATGAAGTTAAGTTAAGTAAAAATTAGGCTTAATTAGGTCTCAAAAATATTTAGAAAAAATAATACTTCAGTCTAAAAATACTTTTAAATTTAAAAAAAAATTGAAAAAACACTCAACTTTCAAAGAAAAATTCAAATATATATTTTTAATGAAAACATTTAATATTTAATTTTAAAAATACTCAAATACCTTTTAATTTTAAAAATTATTTAAAAATACTCCATTTTCAAAAAAATTCATTAATATCTTTAAATTTTAAAAAAAAAACTTAAAAATGGAGATAATTCACCATGTGTCCATGCGCTTGTATCCATATATTGACATTAAAAAATTTAATTTTTTTATAAGTTTAAGACGTTAATACTATATTTAAAAATTTATAAATATTATTTTAAACATAGGTAAAGATATATTTTTTTAATTAAAATATATTAATGGAACCGTGTATTTTTTTTTAGATAATTTTTAGATTTTTTTTTTTTAACTTTCAAAATTTTGGAGATATTTTTTAAAAAAGAGTTTTTTCTTTTATTAATTTGGCCTGTTATGCTTAAATTATTGTGCCAAGTAAAGTTAGGCAAAAATTTATGTGTCCGTTAATTTCATATATGAATGAATAATCAATAAAATAATGAAAAACATAATAATAATAATAAGTTGTTTTAAACAAAATGGCGTGTGTTCAAAAGGAAATTATGAAAAATAAACACCCGTCGACAAATAATTTTTGGATAACCGAGAAAAATTAGGTTAAATTGCGCGAAAAGATTTTGATTTAAGATAGATTCATGAAGATGAAATCTGTTTATGATCTACGTCCCGCCATTCTAAATATGTTAATCAGTAAAGATATATTTACTTGACGTCCTACTCAAGAGAGAGACTGATTGAATCTTAACATATTCGCTAAAGGGTGATTTAACATAGATTCTACGTCTTGGAGCTAAGCCAATCTTAGAACAACCTTGTGATAATGAAACCAACGGACAAAAAACATTAAGGTTGAAAAGATGAATGTACCAATTGTGGTACAACATATTTAAGTCAGCCCATTAAGATATTGGTATGCTATAGAGTAAGGAAATTCTACGATATCAAGCCAAGAATAGCTAAGATATCCAAAAGATGTCAGGCAAAATCATGTTCAAGTAATAACTTAAAGAGTTTATAGTATACAAATAAAATTGAGTGTTATTTTGATAACATTATTAATACGATCCTTGTAGCTGTTACGAGTAAGTTGATCCAAATTGTTAATACGAGGGGAAAGTCCAAATAGGACAATATGCACTAACGGTAGTGTGCTAGAGAGGACGTTGGCACTCCAAAATGGTGGGGCAGAAGATTAGAGATCCACGTGTCGACACAATGCACAAAGACGACAGTTTTAATGACGTGTCTTGAAGAAATGGCTTATTTGCACCCGAATTCGCCGCGTTTGCCATATTACGTGTCCATTTCACAAGCTATTTCGTCATCGGAGCTCTTCCAATTATCGGGCTTATAAATAACCCACCAGAACCGACCCTTTCCACCACTTCTCCAAAGGGCCTAAAATTCAAACCCTTTCGTATTCATATTCACACAAGCCAGAAAGCAAGAAAAGAAGGAATATGGCGGCGCAGCAGGAGAGATCGGAGCTGGAGGCCAAAGCAAAGCAGGGAGAGACCGTGGTTCCGGGCGGAACCGGCGGGAAAAGCCTCGAAGCTCAAGAACGTCTCGCCGAAGGTAATAATTGTCAGGAATCACGAACAATTCTTTATAATGACATTGACTCTTCGTAGAACCCTCAAACAGTCTATACTTGATCAATCGAGGCTCAATTCTTTCTTTAAAGTCTTCAAAGTTTAACACGACTACATTAAAGGTGACACTAATACTATATCTTTAAGAATTTTATGATAACATGACTACATTAAATTACGAATCTCACAGTATGGTCGAATTTTATTGACATGCCTCAAATTAAAGGCATAATTTTGATTTTAGGTTAAGAATCACGATTTTTCAGGATCGTATGGTATTGCTCATTTTAAGTCAAGCTCTTATAGCTTTTTATGGTCGAGTTAAGGGCATGGCTTTGATACCATTATTGTCGAATTTTATTGGCTATTCTTGAAATAAGTGAAACTTGGTTGGTTGAAGGTCGGAGCCGGGGCGGGCAGACGAGGAAAGAGCAGTTGGGGTATGAAGGGTATCAGGAGATGGGGCACCGAGGAGGAGAGACGAGAAGGGAGCAGATGGGGCAAGAAGGGTACCAAGAGATGGGCAAGAAAGGTGGGCTGAGCACCATGGATAAGTCCGCCTCCGAGCGGGTGGAGGAGGAAGGAATCGAGATCGACGAGTCCAAGTTCAGGACCAAGGACCGCTGAACCACCCTGGCTTTGGTATATGTACAATAATATGTATGTGGGCGGGTGTTTTTCATTTCCTTTACTGTTCTACTTTATGGTTGCCTTTTGTTTTCTCGACACGTGCACGTCGGTGCCTTATCGGTGGGGGGTTTGGTATTTGCGGAAGGGACGAATTTTGCTGTACCTTGTGTTCTCTTCTGCATGGAAATAGAAGTAGGGGGCTTGAAGTTATAAACTTACGACATGCTTTATTCAACTTTTGTTCGGTCATACACTTCATTTGTGCATGTCCCCGTCCCCAGTATCTTCTTGAGACACGGACTATCTTGACTTTTTAAGTATCGGATTCTTTCGTGTCTATATTGAATTATTTACGACATATTTACGACATACAATCGAAGCACTCAGAGCTCAGATTCGTCTCCTTACTCGTCCACGTCCATTGGTTTTTGAGTTCATAGTAATATTTACATAAACATGATAGATGTTCATAATTCAATTAATAATAAAATAAATAAAAATTAATGATTAAAATGAAAATTTGAGTTATTACAAGAACCAACGGTTCTGATTTCGAACTTATAGAACGTGGCAAGAAGAACGAGAGAATGTCATGACATTGAAATCTCTTCCAACGTGACGGAATTGGTCTCGGTCACTCTTCGGGACGGAATGGAAGAGGGGAGGAGAAGAAAATGAAAGAAAAACGAGTGTTTGAGAGAATAAGGAGAGAGAAAAATCAGAGCTAAGATTCTCCCTTTACCCTTAAAAAGGGCATAGAGTCAAGAAAAGAAAAGCAGTTAAGAAGGAAAGGAATCCATCGGAAAGAAGAAAAGCAGTTAAGAAGGAAAGGAATCCATCGGAAAGAACCAAGCTGTTTAGAGCGTCTTTGTTTTGTCACCTTACATGATCTGTTTTAAATATTTGGAAAGATAATAAAATGATCACATCAATTTATTCAATTTTAAAAATATTAATCAAATTAAATCTAACGCCATAAGATATCTAATAAAAATAGCATTTATTTGGAAGTTTGACCAGTGCCACCTCATTCTAATTTTAGACAGAGGCAACGCCTTTGTAAATAAAAAAAATATTTAAAAAAGAAAAAGGTTAATATATAACAATAAAAATGATTGATGAGAGAATTTGATAATATTTTTTAGAAAATAGGTACGGTCTCTATATAGTTCTAAATAGTCGTACAATATTAATTTTTATAAATATATATTTTATATAATTTTACTGAGGAAGGAGATATATGATAGTAGGTTTAATTTCTTTTATATTTTAAAATTAAAATTTTAAAAATTATGTTGGTAAAATATTATTTATATTTATTTGTACTTACCTAATATGATTTAATTTATTAAAATCTATTATATTTTTAATAGAAATCATTTTAGAAAATAGAAATGATCAATTAAAGAATTTATTGAAGAGGAATTTTGTAAAAAAAAAAAAAAAAAAAAAAAAATCATTAAAAAAAAGGAAAACAACGTCCAAGAAATAAAAAATAAAAAAAAAATCTCAGAAATTGTGGTATTTAAGAATAATAATAATTATTACTCCATTTTATAAACTTTTAATTAGCCATAACCATGCATGATGAGAAGAAAGTTGAGGACATATCTGAAAACAACTGTTGGAAGACGGGTCGGCATGCTAGGATGTTGGAACCGCTACCAGATTAATGTCTCCTCAACACGTGTCATTCTTCTGACACTACAAGACATTTTTAGACTGAGTAATCACCTACGTGTCAGTCGCCCAATGCTCTATGGTCCACTATCTGCCACGTAGACACTCCAAAGTGCCCATTTTGCCCTTTTTTTTGCGAATTGAGAAGCTCAAATTCTATATAAACTGAGTGGCAAGAATAAGTGGCAGACAACAATCTTGTGTTCTTAAGGCTAAGAATTTGAAACAGTCAGAGAGAGGGAGATGTCGTCGGAGCAGGAAAGATGTGAACTCGACGCCAGGGCTAGGCAAGGGGAGACTGTCGTACCCGGCGGAACTGGGGGGAAGAGTCTCGAAGCTCAGGAGCACCTGGCAGAAGGTGTACCGACTTGTCGACTTTTATACTTCTAATTCTCTAAAAACACCTTTTAATCCTTTGAAAAGAGCACTTAGGAAGCCAGAAACTTGGGGTACGGTCAAAATATGTAGTTTTGTCTAACCAATTCTAAGCTGAACCTACTAAAATCCTCACCTCAAGCAACTAACTATGAAAACTCTTTATACTGCCTTACAAGTACTGAACTGACTAGAGAGGTTTTGTTTGATGGTGAAATGCAGGGCGGAGCCGTGGGGGTCAGACGAGGAAGGAGCAGTTGGGACACGAAGGGTACCAAGAGATGGGCCGTAAAGGAGGGTTGAGCAACTCGGGTATGCCAGGAGGAGAGCGTGCGGCTGAGGAAGGGGTTGAAATTGACGAGTCCAAGTTCAGGGCCAAGTAAAAGCTTTCATAATGTCGTTGGCTTTCTTTTAAGTGTGTGCTTTCTTTTGGAGCATCTTGAATAAATAATGTCCTTGGATGCCTTGCCCTACAGTGTCGGGTGTGTATATGGATGTTTCTGCTTGAAGTGAGAAATTAATGTCCTTTCTAGAGTATATTCCTGTGAAGGACAGAGTGAACACCACCTAAAATCCTACATATGGCTAAACAGAACTAAATATCTAAGTGTTCTTCAATCCTAAGTGTTCTCAAGAACTAAATATCTTAATTATAACGATGTTGATCATTTTGAGAGGGTTACAAGTAAAATGCATCAAATAGAATATCAGAATCTGAATGAGAAGAAATTTAAGCCAGCGTAGTTGGTTGGCAGACCTGAAAAATATACGAGCAGTCGGAAGCAAGAGAACAGAATTCCAGTATGTATGCATATTCTGATTCAATTGCAACCTGAAGTAAGGAGACGTATCTCATTAGAAACCGAGAAAATTCACGTGTAATCTGTTGAAGGCTTTTAAGAACCGAGGAAATTTTGTTCCTACTTTAATCGTTGAATAAGAACTTAATTGTGATACAATCCTAAATCAAAGCTTTGAAATATGCTGGTAGAGATCCAAAACTGGTTTACCGAACCAGGCGAATGTAACCTGACTTGGGCTGGCTGCTGCTGGGGGAGTCCGCAGACTTTTGCTGTATGCTCTTGCTGGCATTGCGTTAGTCACGCATGTCTGTACGTGTACGTACGTTTGATTTTCCGCATGCTAGAGTTCAATGGCTGGTAGCAAGAGCAGTGACCAACAGCCCCAGCACAAGAAATGGCTGGGCACTGGCCTGAAATGTTAATGCAAACGAAGGTTAAAAAAATAAAAAATGACTCGACTCCACGAACTCAATCAATTCAATCATGGGTTGGGTGGGTTGGGTTGTTTAAGAATTATACTAAAATAAACCCATTCAAATTTATTAATAATTATTCATTTAATATATATACATATATATATATAATAACATAATTATTTTTTTGATAATTTATTCTAGAACTATTTGAGGTAATTTTTAAAAATATATATTTATAAATTTTAAATAAAACAAAAATTTGAATAACTATTTATGATCGAGTCATTGAGTTGTAATATGAATTGTTTGGATTGAAATTTTTTTTGTAATCCATATAAAAATATCTCAACTCAACCCACCAAAATCTGTAAAAAGAAATATAAAGAAGCTGACAAATCTGGCCTGGTAGTGGCAGGGAGGTACACGATTATGGACGTCATGGGGTTCGGACCACTTAAAGTTGTTGGATAGGGCAGAACGATAATGCTTTGACAAATAGCACAGAGAGAAACGGCTCTATGTAGGCAGTTTCTATGAACGCAAGCTACACTTTAAAGAAGAATTTGAGTACCTGATATTTGACATCGTACTTGACGGGGTCCTTGAGAAAGTATTTGAACTGCAAAAACCATAATAGTATGCATTAGTCGAGTATTAATGTTCGTTGCAACAAAAAGGAAAGTTCAGCTAGAAGGCTGATTGTCGAATCAAACACAACTATTCAATTATAATTAAAGAAAATAGAAAGAGATGGGATCACAATTTACACCCCAATACTTGAATACCAAATAATACCCCCCTTACATTACTAAACAGTTGTTCAGCAGCGGCTGCCTACTTAAGAGAAAACTGATACCATATGACGTTTCTTTAAAAGTATATACCTGGAAAAAAACTTGGGGAGCAATTAGAGCAAGGAGGGCTAATGCGTAATACGGCTTGCCAGCTCCCAACAGATAACCTGCAATAAGTAATAGTATTTGTGGTCACGTTCATTTCAAATATGGTAGAGGGAACAGTGTAATTAGCTTGCAAATCAAAGTCCCGATTCTAGTCCTTATGATTTCTAGATCTACATCGCAAATAAATAGCGATTTTCATTTTATACACATGGCAGGATGATTGCTTTTAAGCCTTTAGTATGAGAGACCCGTAAATGGTTTCTGTTGAGGAATGTGGGAAGTCCCACATTGGCTAATTTAGAGAATGATCATGGATTTTTAAGGAAGAAATATATCTCCATTGGCATGAGGCCTTTTGGGAAAAACCAAAAACAAATCCATGAGAGCTTATGCTCAAAGTGGACATTATCATATCCTCGTAGACATTCATGCTTTCTAACATTTTCTTTCAAGAATGCAGTTCATAGCAGCAAAGAACACCATCTTTCAGATCTTGGCATTCAGGAGTATTATTTTGGTAGAGAAGGCAAAGAGAGATCGAGCAATCTATCTTTCCAACAATCAGAATGTAGAATATTAAATATTCGCTTGTTGCAAACAAACTATTGGGATTCTTATCCCTATCTCAGTTAATTGTTAAGTTGAGAATCTGAGATGTCATCTGCAGTACTTTCAACATTGCTCAATTCCTTCGGTGGCTAACAAAGCTTAATAGATATAGGCACATTGGAGGTGATTCGATATTATAGAAGAGCATAATTGTTACAAAATGCAATAGAAGGGTGCATGTACGAAAAGATGAAACCCAAACAAGGTGAAGACCCTCCAAAATGTAAATTAGAAGAAAGGCAGAAGCAAAGAAATGATCAACTTATGTTCTTATTTTTCAGTACACTCAGAAAATGGTCTGGTGACCGTAATTTTGCGCATGGATTTAAAGTGAAGACCCCTTGAACAAAACAGTGCTAAAAGAATTACCAGCAACAGATAATTGAGTTATGTCAATAGCGCCAACGCAAATCCATTTAGCAGTTTCAGCACCAAAAGCTACTGGAAGTGACTGTAAGAGCAGTAAACAATAAAAGCTGACAATAGAATAACAAAACAAAAAGAGTCTGATAAGACCAAAATTTAGTTTTACAAATCAAAGACTGTTTTAGAATGAAATACCTGAAGTCCTAAAGCTCTATCCCCCTCAACACTTTTGAAATCATTTACAATGCCTATTCCAAACTGGTTAAGGCAAATCAGAAGGCAGTCGCATTAGTATTGGATTTTGTGAAAGTAGGAACTCAAAAAATGAATTGAGCGTACTCCAGCTATGCTGTACAAGAGTGTAAGAACCACAATATCAGGAGCGAGTGTTCCAAATAAAGCTTGACCTGCCCACCTGAGATTAAAAATTAGCTGTTACTGGAAAGGGAAAACTTATCATATTATAAAGAACAGAGAAAATTTTGGAATACATATGATTAATGTAGAGCCTGGAACAATCCAATTAACTTTATATAAACAATAAATTGAAGGTAACTGCAAACTAGCCATCGATTGGACGTTCCATGTATAGGATTCAAGTTCGACACACGTGGTTCCACTCGAAGTGCATTAGAAGTTTATAAAGTATTCGTTATCTAAATTTGTGTGGATAAAGTGTAATCATAACATTAGATTTCATGGTCAATAGAGAAAGGATGTTCTCTTTTGGTCAGCTTTTGCCCATAGGATAACAATATGCACAAAAGTCCAAGGCCATTCAAATGAGTGTGAATATTAATCACTGACCAGAGATACGAAGAAAGCTTTCAAATTTTCATATGAAACGCAATTGACTTTGTCGACCTGTCAATTGCAGTAATTTTGGTGACATTTTTATTCACTACCAATGTATATCAATTTACCAATTACTAAAGATCACAGGATTTCGCACCATGGTAAACTGATATAACTAGCTCCAAGAGCACAATTTCCAATCCATCCATTTTGTTTCAGCTGCAACCACAAAAAAATGCTCTTAGCATTCAGAAGATCCAATTTAGGAACAAAAACCTTAGTGTTACCTTTAGAGGTGGAGCAGAGTATATGTATGATAACAAAGAGCCACCCAGAGCAAGGTAAAAGACTATAGGAATGTCATGCCCTGCCTTAGAAGGATAAGAACGAAATTCAGGAAAAACAGTACATATGAAAGATGAGTATGTTCTATCAATTCAATGGACCTACCCACACATCTAACAAACCAGCCAAGCCAAGTCCTCCCAGAAGCAACACCCATATTTGTGCCATAACCTGATAAAATTTATGGAAGGAAGAAACCATCAAGGAAGGATAATATGCCTTTGCTAATGAATATCAAGTGGTTTAGCTCATACCTCATTCTCAGATATTGCCCCAGACGGGATTGGACGATAAGGTTCATTAATTGCATCAATTTCTCGATCATACCAATCATTGATCGTCTAAAAAACCAAAGTACCAGTTCTATTTTATTTGTGCACGAATAATACTTTCATAAGTCATAGGAAAGCTTTACATTAAAAAGAGTTTACCTGCGTGTAGCCAGTGAGAAATGGACCAGACATAAGCATGCAAGTAATTGATTTAGCCACATCCTCGAAATTCCAATGGAAGTTACCTGTGAAATTGCATGTATCATTGAAGGCATATTCAATGATTCAATGAGGTAACTAATCAATGAAGCAGAAAAAAGGTCAGTTAGTCCTATCCCTAATTTATCTGTACGTGTAATCACTCCTTTGACCACCATTGATGCATTGGACCATATAATACACAACACGAGAGTAGATCTTAAAGTTCTTATCAGAGAAGAATTCACTCTCATCATCAGACGACTAAGACATAAGTTGACGGTAATATGTGTTAGTGATTCATCAAAAACTTTTCAAATTCAATTTTAGTGTCTTATTATGAGAATTTGAGTACCAGAAGCAGCAGCTCCACACACTACTCCCCAAACCAAGGGCGGCCATGTAACAGGCTTTGTCAATTGAAGACGAATCTTCCATTTATTCTGCATAAAATGACATGAAGAACTTATTAACGACTTACTGTGATATGTACATTCAAATCTTCCTAAAAAACAAGCTTAGGACATGGTAACTCACAGTTTCTAGCGCAGCACCTTTAATTCCAAGAAGCTGGTTGAAGCTCGAACCACCACTCGCCGGCGCTTTATCTGGTGCCTGAGATTTAACTGATCAAAGCGAATAATCAAAATATAAATAAGCAGAAAATCATGAAAAGAAAAAAAAATAAATAAATAAAGCATCTCAAATTTAATCGTGTCTAAAGTTTTGAGAAATCTACACTGCAAGATTCAGAGTATTCCCCTGGTCAACATTAAAAACGAAGCAAAACGAAAAAAAAAAAAAAAAAAAAAAAAAAAAAAAAAAAAAAAAAAAAAAAAAAAAAAAAAAACGCATGAAAGACCTTCATTCTTGTCAGTTTCAGCGGCAATAACCAATAGTCTCCTTCCTGGAAAAATGAACAATCCGTCGTTATATAAAAAGAAATAGCACATGATATCTCAAAATCGACATTGAAGCTAGAGAAGTCCGTGAAGAATAACAAGAAACTCAGAACAGTCATGCACGTATCACAGAGTTTCATTCTTCGATTTCAAAGCTCTTGGATATCAATGTATATTCATTTATGTTGTTTTCAGAAACTGGTGAGGCATTACAGAGTGAACTCACTAGAAAACGAAACAGAAACCGGCGATAGAGCATACTGAATTCGAACTCGATTGGCTTGGATGCTCGATGATCTCACAAATGGAGCTGTATTCAGCGTCAACGCCATTGAAGCACTATCTCCAGTGTTTCTTCGAACTCCCACTAATACTCTAAGATACTGCGCGGAGAGAAAGAGGAGACACTATGGTGAAATTAACCAGCTAAGAATGTGAAACAAAAAATAATAATAATAATAATAATAATAAACATAGAAATAAAGTTAACCGGACTATTATCGAGGAGGGTAATTTTACTCTACATCTTAGCTTACCATAATCAACATGTTCTCACTTAAGTGGTGACCATGTTTCAAGTTGCAACAATATATTTATTAACATATTTTATAAACAAACTTTATATATTTATTAACATAATTTTTTTAACTATTAAAAAAATTTACAACATAATTTTTAATTTAAATATTATTTTTAAAATCTCAAAATTAATTAATTAATATATTTTTGTAATAGAGTCAAAAACCTATTTATATATTAAACGGGCAAGTCAGAGAATTAGATGGGAAGGAAGAATATAATCTCGTCCCCAACCCCATTTATCGGGGTAAAAAATATTTTACACTCACTTTCCTATTTAAGGTAAGTCTCAGTCGTAAAATAGACGGCTCGTGTATTAACAAATCAGCAAATAAATAAAATAAATAAATAGAAATAGTTGGGCCGGCCCACTGGGCTTATTCAGACGAGCGTTCGAGTAAGAGGGCAAGCTTGTCAAATGGATTAAGCCTTCCATTCTTTTATTTGTTCCTTTTTTTTTTTTTTTTTTTTTTTTTTTTTTTTTTTTTTTTTTTTTTTTTTTTTTTTTTTTTACAACTTTAGATCAGTTCCATGGTAAATTATTTCGGGTAAACTGCCAAATATATAGTCGACATTTTATTTACTATTGAATTGTATACATGAAAAAAATATATATCTCACATTTATATTCATATATTATTATAATAGATAGATTCAACGGTTATTATGCGACAACTATATTGTATCAATTTCATTAAATAAAATTATTCCATAATTTATATTTTTTTAATTTTTCTTTTCTTTATTATATAATTTATAAGACCTACACAAAATTATAGCTCACATCTTAAAAGTTTCTTTATAGGTAAAAATTAAAAAGACTTTGTTTTTATTTATTTATTATTATTAGAATTATATAATTAAACTCAAGTACGTTAAATCCTTAAATTAAAAAAAAAAAAACTTTAATGTTAGTTTTAGATAGAAACTATTAGTATTTTATTTAAAAATTAAACTCAATACTAATGTTTAAAATATCATTGAGTTTAAAAAGTTTAATTAATACCTATCCACAAAATTTAAAAGTAATATTAACACATTTACCCTTATTAAAAAAAATTTAAAATTTTTATCATCAATATATAGATGAAAATTATCTACTGACACCTCATAAATTATCTACAAATATTTTATTTTTATTTTGAAAAATTCAAAAGTATTTTTTAAAACATCGTATTAAGTGAGATATTTTTAAATTTTTTTAAAAAGTTTAAATGTATTAATCAAATTATTAAAAATTTAAGGTTTTTTTTTAATTTAAAATAGTTTTTAAACCATTTTGAAAGTTAGAAGAATATTTTGAAATAAAGTATTAACGATTTTCATCTAAAACTAACGGTAAATATATATATATATATAGTGTATTTTTATAAATTTAGCCTTTAAACTTCAATTATCGATTTTTAAAATAATAAAATTATCAACTTTTAAAATAATTGAGCTGCATTATGACAACTTAATGTTAACTAATTGAAAACATTAAAATAAAAAATATATTATAATCTTATCAATAACTTTGATGCGAAAATTAATAAATATAAATAATAAATATTAAAAAACGTGATTAGTGATTAAGGTTGAGCAAATAATAATCTCCTTCCAAAGATATATATATATATATATATATATTATTGGAGCACTACCACTTTAAAATAAAATAAAATAATAAAATAAAAAAGGCAGTTTCAACCCATTTCCACCTTTTAATTTATTTACTATTTAATATAAATAAAGTTGAAAATGATTTTCCACTAAAAGAAAGGAACATAAAAGTAACTAAATTACCACGTTATAAATTTACACTAAAAAAAACTCTTTAAATAACCATTTTATATTGTAAAAAAATGGTAGTTGCTCGCAATTTCTTTATCATATAATAATTTTTTAAACTTAAAAAAATATATGTATATTTATTTTTATTTCAAATCAATTTGGGGTAACTACTTCTTTTTGGCCTATCTTAAAAATAATACAAATAGTACCAAAAAAAAAAAAACTATTTTAACTATACTTTTTTTTTTCTTTTTCAAGAATATTGTTTAATATATTCTGGAATTTCCTTTTTATTATCATTATTTTCGGGGGTTAAATTAGTGATTGGAGTAATTCAAATAGAGTCCACGCTCTAACCTAGTTGAAATCTTTGGGCCTACCTCCATTCCTATGGGACTCATATGAGACGAAAGCTCCATGTTCTCTTTTGAAGCTGAGTCTTTCCAACAATGGGGCCTAGAGACCGATATGATGATTGGTTTAGGTAGGGCGGCCAGCCTACTACGGACACCTGTAGGGATTAGTGCTTGAAGCCGCAATCGACAAAGTTACGCATGGGACTCACCCTTTACCTCGGAATGAAGAGGGATAACATAACATATCATATTACAAGACCGAGGCGAGATTTAACATCCTAATACGTTCGAGTTGGTTAGATTGACCTGATAAAAACAATGTCAACCCACGAATCGAAACGAATGTTCGGTTTTCTAAAATTTAAATTGAAACTATCCTCTCCACCCACATTTGAACTCTTAACATGTGATACGGTCTCGAAGGTGCCGTTCAATTTGGCTTCATCGTTGAAGCACATCGACCACTGTGTTTTACTCTCAAATTTAGACAAACAACTTCTTCACGTGGCTTTCACAGCTTGTGGATGAGAACAAAGAGATCTATTGTTTCTTCTTAAGCTTTATGATTTACTTAAAAATTATTTTCTAAATTTGATACTATTTCGACTAGGGTTAAATTGGTGGCTCGAACAGGGATCAAGGTTGGCTGGTGAGACGATGGTAGATAAACTTCACCGTAGAGAGGAAAACAACCCGGATCAGAAGCTAATGCCCCTAAATGACCGCTTAGTGATAAACGAGGTAAGAGTGCAGAGACAATCATGAGGTTTGCCTAGAAGTAGCCACCCTAGAAAGAGTGTGTTTTATAGGTCATTGATCTAGTGCTTTTGTGCTAAAGATGAACGGAGCTAAGCGATCTGCCAAAATTGTAACATGTAAAAATGCATTGGTAGGAGAGCATTTCGCCTTAGAGGGAAGCACCCGCAGAATAGAGTTCACAATCCAAAATCAACCAAACTAACCCAACTCAACTCTCTATTCCCGAGTAGATAGAGTTAGATTATAACTCTATTTTCAGATTGGTCGTGTTGATCCCGAAAAAAAAAAAAAAAAAGTATCAACTCGTGAACCGATCTGAATTTTCTATTTTTCAAAAATTAACCCAACTTAAAAGAAATTCTAACCCAACTCGACTCTACTCAACTCAACACGTTTATAGTTTTAATTGGATAGTTCGAGTTAATCAGATTCTCAGATTATATGAACGCCACTCAACTGAAGACGATGTCTAGCACTTGGTTTCCAAAGGAATCCATATCCAACACACATGAAAGCAAAGCAATCCACCATTGCCAAAGATTCATGGCTTTAATAATTTAGCTTATATGCTAAACTCCGGTAACATCGCCTCCTCCAATAAATAATTCACTGATAATGTTACACTCGACTAAATGAGAAGTACACGAGTAAAGGAGAAATATATGAATAAATCGAGACTACATTTGAATGATAACGATTTTCATGATAAGATGACTAATAAAAACTTAAAAGAATTAAAAGTCTCTGCCTATATCAATAGAGCGCACCTTCATTTTCAGCTGTTCAATCATAGAAAATTTAAATTTAAGCGTATCATAAGATGCATGTAAGTGAGAACAAATCATGTTGGATGATGACAAGAGAATTTCGAGGCACACAGATCACGAATCCTGATCATGGGTACCACTTCAGTCCTAATAAGATTCTAAATCAAACACGAACATATATTTTAAAATTGGCAACATTTATGTAGACAATTTCAAAAAAATTCTTTTAACGTTCAGCAATATAACCGTACAAAATCAATCATCAACTTTTGTGACAAGAATTGATATCGTATCTCTGAATTAGACTTGAATTGACAATTTAAAAAATCTTCATTATTCTATAATCGATATTCTTTTCCCATCTCCATCCCCATCTCGGAACGTGTAGCGAAAGCATATTCCAAGAACCCTTCCCTTGGACAAGGACATGTCTTGGGAGATGCCATATTTGTTGTGTGATGTGCACTAAACTTGCCGCAAGGAACCAAACGATCTGAATTAATATATATATATATATATATATATATATATATATATATATATATAGGTTTTTTTTTTGGGATATTTTACTTAAATTTAATTATTTTATTAATTTTATTAAAAAACTTAAATATTCAGAATCATTGCCTTTGGCATACGTAATGCTAATAAGGAAATATTTGGTTAATAATTATTTTTTAAAAATAAAAAGTTTTTGCAAACTCTATTTATTTATTTATTTATTTATTTTTTTGGAAATAATATTATTTCTAAAATTGAGATGAAATTAAACCAAATAAATTAAATAATGTTAATTCAATTTGAAAATATGGTTTACACCTAAATTCAATTCTATCTTAAATATTATTACGAAAATTATGAATTTTTAATTTTTTTAATTCACAAATCTATTAAATATAAAATTAAGAGTTTGTGATAACAATTAATTTGTAATTTTTTTAATACATGAATATATAAATTTATATTTTAATATAGATAAAAATAATTTTATAGAGGGTAGGGCGGACCCACGAGGGACTAATTTCACGAAGCTGAGCTGGAAACATGATCGAGATCGGCCAAATCTTATCCATTTTATTTATAAAAAATAAAAAAATAAATATATAAAGCAAGAAATCATTGTTCCCTGATTGATAAAAATATATATTATATTTCAGTTATTTTCTAATTATTTTTTCCATCA